CTGATAGTGAGAACACTTAACCAGTGGAATGGCTTTCCTCCAAAAGTTGTGGATGTTACATTACTGGAGATTTTTAAAAAAGAGACTGGGCAGCCATTTGTCTCAAATGGTATTGGGTCTCCTGCTTCAGCAGGGGTTGGACTAGAAGACCTCCAAGGTCCCTTCCAACGGTTACATTTCTGTTATCCTCCCAAATTCCCAACCAGTTAAGGAAGCTTAACTTTTGGGACTTATAGGAGGTGGTTATTTCTCCATAAACGCACAATGTTATAAATTCACCACAATCCGCGCATCTGTCTTGACGTCTTTGAATAAAAGGAAAGGACAAGCCTTGCCTCATGTCATGTTGCTTATGGTTTGTGTGCCTTTTTGGTCACTTCTACTGCAAATCATCAAACGGACAAACATTTTCATGCAACTTCTCCATGAATCACATACACCCCCAAATCTAACACAATGCCTATTTGTTTGCAGTTGAATGCAATGTGCGAGCCCAGCTGTTGATCATGGCTATATGCATTCTAGACTAAGACAGTTTAATCAGTAAACCACGATTCAAAAAGAGTGGCTTAGAATGATCTGTCCATCTAGACAATAGGCACTGGCAGCTCATCAACCTAGCTGCTTTCCAGAGACTAAGGAAACAAAGCTGAGCGACTATTCTTAAGGATAGTGTTGTGCGCTACACTCCATCAAAGAAATTCCACATTTGAGAAAGCAAACAAAAGGTTAAGCCTACAAGCGAAGGTTAAAATTTTCCTGCAAGGAACAGAGAACAGTTAATTAAGGATCTGTATCAGCACCCAAAGGCCAGAATATGCTAAAAAGTTGGCATCTTCCTCTCCTCTGACCATCATCCTCTGATTAAGGGAACAATGGGGAGTCGGATTGATGCAAACAATGTTGTGTCATTGCACTCACCTCTTTTACATGCATCTGGTAATGCTACACAAACATACACATGCGCTTTTAGGAATCAAATGAAATCAGGAAAGTCGCACTAGTTCTGATCTCTTGAATTATTTCCATCCCAAATCCAGTGAGATTTCTGACAAGAAGGTAAAAGCTTTAAAAGTGTCCTTTGTTATTTGAGATGTGTGTTTGTTTTTTTTCCAGGTGTCATGGGTCAACTTTAGTAGATGTGATAATAGCTGGGGTATTTGCTTCTTACAGGTCTCATCCATGGGATGGGATTCAAATTTTTTAGCAATCAGGTCTGTGGGCGTGGCTAGGTGGGCGTGGCCATATGACTGGGTGGGCATGGCTGCTTTTTTTTTTTTGGCAGCACCCCCTCCAGCAGTCTGTTTTTGGGTCTCCTGGGCCTCAGGGAAGCCTCCTGGGGAGAGGGGGGCATTTTTGCTCCCAGAAGGCTTCCCTGAGGCCCAGGAAGGCATAAAACGGAGCATGGGGGACACGCAGCATCCCCTTCCGCGCACCCCTTTTTGCCTTCTGGGCCTCACGGAAGCCTCCTGGGCGAAGCAGTAAGACAGCGAGGGGGATCCCGGCATAGCTGATCGTCAGAACAGCTGATTGTTGGGAGGAAGAAAAAAAAACACGAATATCTTAAGGAGTGACTGGGCGGGGGAGAATGCAGTCAGCGATGTCGCGCATGCGCAAGAAGGACTGACTGGGAGGGAAGAGGAGGACGGAGAGGGGTGTGGCCAGCCAAGGGCACGATTTGCCAGTTCTCCAAACTGTGCAGAATCGTAACAACCAGATGAACTGGTCGAATCCCACCCCTGTCCACGATGCTCCACACAACGGAACAATTCCAAAGAAAAACACTGACTTTTGCGGATGGAATAAACCTGGAATTAATATAAAACCATCAATATTGTGCACGGTGCAGACCAGGGAACCCAGTGCTACTACACCAAAGCTCTTCACTCAAGGACAGGGGTTGAAATCTGCCCTTTAGGCGATGATATGAATTCCGGAGGCTGCCCCGTGGTTTTCAACTGGAGTAATGCAAAGAAGATTAAAGCAATGTAAAATTCCAATCATTAAACATGATTTTCGAACCCAGCTCCAAGGCATTCGAAGCCTCGCATTCTTCTCCCTCACCTTTAAAACTGGAGCTTTGATGAAAAGGTGGAAGCAATGGTTTAAATTCTTCGCAGTATGTACACAGAGGAGGAAATTGGACCAAAAGATCCCAACGATTGTCTCTTTTAATGTTCAAGTTCCCAGCAAAATGTGTCTACAAATTATAAAACGTCTAAAATATGCGATGAGATTAGATTGCAAGGGTCACGACCTTCAGGGAAGCCGAAATAAGCTGCAGGCATCTACAGAGGGATTACACTGTGTTTGTTGCACAATGCCAGACTGTGGAAAGCGCACGACATAAAAGGGTGCCATTAAAACGCTGAAGCAAAAAGAAAAAAAAGAAAAATTCTCTCATGGAATGTGGCAACTGGGCTGGCCTACGTGTTAATATTTAAAATAGTAAACAGGGTTTTTAAGTTTATTTTTATGTTTAAATAGAAGAGGGAGAGGGAAACGTGTATGTTTCCCACTTTCCTTAAATACTTTGTAGTTGATTTTATTGCTTTATTTAGAGTCGCTCTCTTCAATGTTTTTTTAGTTTGGCTGTTAAATTCTTTCTCACATTAGACTGACTCATTATTGTTAATACTTTCTATTCCAAGTATTCATTTTAGCTAAAATTCTTTGTGTATACCTTTAAAAAAAAGTCTTAGAGAGTCTGGGCCTATAGATCCATGGTTATATACACCTCTGCTTTGTGCTTGTTAATGACTGTAATAAAGATAATGGTGTTTTTTTCCACTTTTCATTATGTGGGTTTCAAAAGAAACAGACCTATTCATTTCAGCTGGTATAATAGTCCACTGAATTAAGTCCAAGACTAAAAAAAAAGGAGGGGGGATTTCCTTCTGTGTCATCTAAACTAAATCAAATATTAATTCATACTGTTATGATGTTTAAATGAATATATGAATATATTGGCTTTTAACGAGGATCCAGTTCAACCCTTTGCAATATTATAACATTGCAGCACAGCCAAAAGCTGATATCATAATACGTATTTCCTATAATTTGATTACATCAAAACCTGCTCTTTTTAAAGCTTTTTTTACTGGAGTCTGCAACTCAAAAATCCCAGAGAGAAGACTGTATGGGGCAAAGTTACCCAAATATTCATCTATTGAACAAAATGGATTTCATGAGCATTCTGTTTAATGCACAAAATGCATAACAAGAAAAGTCACAAATGGACGTGGAAACAGGCCAAAATGAATTGAATACTGGGCAAAATTAGAAACTGAATGAAGCTATAAGGATCAATTTGTCTAAATTTAGAAGCGTGTTTATCTCTCAATCATGAATAAATGAATTATTTAAAAATGCAGATCCCAAAATAGGTCCTTTTTACATTTAAATCAAGTATGTGACCCTAAATAATTTAAAACACTGGTTAATTCAGAAATAATTACTGGAACTGTCTCACTGAGTCTTTCCACAATAGTTACTTCAAATACGTAAATATGTGTACAGGTAACCACAGATGAGGTTGACAACACAGTAACGGAATAACAGATTTGGAAGGGATCTTGTAGGTCATCCAATCCAACCCCCTGCTTAAGTAGGAGACCCAGCCTATATTATTTCTGGAAGTGGCTATCCACTTTCATCTTGAAAGCCTCCAGTGATGAAGCACCCACAACTTCTGAAGGCAACTTCTATTCCATCGGTTGAAAATCACTGCCAGAAAATTTCTCCTTATTGTTAGGTTGAATCTCTCCTTGATCAGTTTCCATCTATCGGTCAATTGTGGTTAACAACAGCACATTGATTTGAAACCTGAAATATTTTTGCTGGGGATTTTACCAGAAACTTCTAGTAAAGAAAATGTATATTTGATTATTCGTGTCTTAACTGCAGCTAGAAAGGGCGTTGGTACTTACCTGACACGCCCGTTCTCTTTGAGCTGTGAAGACCATCCAGTAGTAGTGGGAGGTGCTTCAGTCTCTGCATGTCTAGGCTGGGCTTAATTTGTGGAACGCTCCTCCTCCTCCACGGGATTCCTCCCCAGCGTTCCACAGTTTTGGCGAAGACGAGAGAAATAAACGCCCTCGTCCTCAATGCCCTAACAAATTCGTTGGCCGAAACAGGACCCCACCAGACGGGAAAAGGGTGGGGCTGGATGCTCTTCACAGCTCAAAGAGAACGGGCGTGTCAGGTAAGTACCAATGCCCTTTCTCCCATGAGCTGTTCAGAGCATCCAGTAGTGGGACATACCAAAGCTTGGCCTGTCCTACGGGAGGGACTCTGTCTGGCCTGGAAACCCCTCCTGGTCCCTGTGGATCCATTGCAGAACTCTTCTGCCAAAGGAGGCCTCAGCAGATGCAAACACATCTATTTTATAATGCCTAGTGAATGGCGATGGAGAGGCCCAGGTTGCGGCTTGACAAATTTCAGTTATTGGTGCCTGTGTGGCCCACGTTGCCGATGTTGCGGCGCTCCTTGTTGAATGAGCTGTTATGCCCTTGGGCACCTGCAGTGATTGAGTCTGATACGTTTTCGCTATCGCAGCCCGTAGCCAACGGCCTATTGTAGAAGATGAGACCTTGCATCCCTGAGTGTTGGGCTGAAACGACACAAATAAGGCTTCCGTTTTTCTGAAAGTTGCTGTGCAGTTAATATATATTCGCAATGCTCACCTCACATCAACCCTATGCCATTGTAGTTCCAACCCTTGGGATGGTCTGGGACAAAAATTAGGAAGTATCAGCTCTTGTGCCCTATGAAAAAGCGAGTTAATTTTGGGAATAAACGTAGGATCAGGACGAAGGACCACCCGGTCAGAATGGAAAACACAAAGATCTTGTCTGATAGACAAAGCTGCAAGTCCCGAAATACGACGAGCAGAAGGACAACGCTACAAGGAAAACTACTTTATATCCCAGAAATTGGAGACTTGACGATTTCAAGGGTTCAAAAGGGCCCTTAGTGAGTGTGACGAGGACCCTGTTAAGGTCCCAGGTGGGATAACGGTGTACCGCTGGAGGGCGTAAATTTGTGGCTCCTTGAAGGAAACTCCGTATGCGTGGATGATGGGAAAGAGATAGTAGATCTTCACAAGTGAGAACTGATGCCAAGGCCGCCACCTGTCTTTTCAACATTTTAAGTGATAATCCCTTGTCAAGTCCCTCTTGCAAGAACTCTAGGATTTGAGCCACAGATGGAGAGATGGGATCAATTCGAGACTTGGTACACCATTTGCAGAAACTGGACCATGTGGCATTGTAAATGCGAGTTGTTGAGGGGCATCTGGCGGCTTGGATGGTGGCGATAACTGTTGGAAAACTTTTCGCTCTTCAGACGACTCTGCTCAACCTCCAGACGGTCAGGTGCAACCACTGAGGGTTCGGATGTTGAAGGGGTCCCTGGGTTAGCGAGACCCTGGCTGGCGGAATTCTCCATGGTGTTGATATGTATAGACTGCGGAGGTCTGCAAACCACGGCCGTCTGGGCCAGTAAGGAGCTACTAGAAGCAGCTCCGCCCTCTCGTCTAGCAGTTTCTGGATGACCTTGGGAAGCAGTGGAAATGGCGGGAATGCATACAGAAGTCCTGGGGGCCAACGACCTCCGCTCCTTGTGAGGGGTACCTGGAAAAAAATCTCGGGAGCTGAGCGTTGAGGGGGGAAGCGAACAGGTCCACCACCGGCTGTCCAAATGTCCTGACCGCCTCTTGAAACAGGGTCGGATGGAGGCGCCACTCCGATTGATCGATCGTGGCCCTGCTTAGCCATTTTGCCTGTGTATTCGACAGGCCCGAAATGTGCTCTGTTCTGATGGAAAGTAGGTTGCTCTCCGCCCAACGACACAAGCGCTCCGCTTCCCGCATGAGATGTTTCGACTGTGTGCCCCCCTGTTTGTTTATGTGAGCTTTGGCTATTACGTTGTCGGTCAATATTAGTATATGCTGATTGCGTACCTGTGGAAGGAAGCTGCGGAGAGCCAGGTGTACTGCTCAAAGCTCCAGCCAGTTTATGCTGCACGACTGTTCTATGGCGGACCAGCGGCCTTGGGTTGTGAGCAATTGAACGTGCGCTCCCCATCCAAACAGGCTGGCATCGGTGGTGATGGTAAGTCTGTGTGGCTCTTTGAAGAGGCAGCCTCTGTTGATGACTAGTCTGGTCCACCAGAGGAGAGATATGAGGACCTTTGATGGTACCCTGACCTTGTATTTGGAGTTGCTTCAGCCGGAGCGCTGGTACGGTAGCAGGAACCACTGGAGGGATCTAGTGTGGAGCCGGGCCCAAAGGATGATAGAGATACATGAGATCATCTTGCCTAACAATTTTGATAGTTCCGCTAGGGACACCCTCTTAAGACCCCTGATCTCCTTAACTAAGTGCTGAATGCTATTTAGTCTATCTGGTGACAGGTAAACTTTGCCTTCCACCATATCTATGACTGCCCCCAGATGGGTTAACCGAGTCGATGGTATTAAATGACTCTTTTTCCAATTTATTGAGAACCCGTGTTGTTGTAGGGATTGTAATGTGTTCTGAGTATCTCTGACTGCTTAATGATAGGAAGATGACAAAATCAAGATGTCATCGAGATAACACTGGAGTCGTATGGGATTATCATGGAGATGAGCAGCTAGCACTGCGAGAACCTTCGTGAAGGTCCTGGGGGCAGAAGCTACTCCAAAAGGAAGGGCCACATATTCGAAATGGCGGTTATTATAACAGAATCTCAAAAATTTATAGTGGGAAGGCCGAATAGCAATATGTAGGTATGCCTCCGTCAGATCTATGGACGTAAGTACGTCATTCTTTCTGATGCAAAGTAAGATAGATTGCAGGGTATGCATTTTAAACTTGCGATATACTAAGAAACGGTTGAGACGTTTCAGATCCAATATTGCTCTCCACTCCCCCGAACTTTTGGGAACAACAAAAAGATGTGAATAGAAACCTCACCCTCATTGATTGGTAGCTACTGCTTGGATGGCTCGTATGTCCAGTAGATGATGGATAGCTGTTTCCATAAGATTACGTTTAACCAGATCTCTGGAAACAGGGCATGACATGAAAAAGTCTGGGGGAGTGGATTGAAACTCCAGCGCAAGACCAAATCTGATCGTGTCTCTGACCCAGGAATCAGACGTTGGGGAGTCCCATTGGTCCGCGAATAATTTAAGGCGTCTGCCAATGGGAGCCGGGTCCGGGAAGTTAACTTGGACGCTGGAAAGACCTATTTCCTGCTCCTCGAAAGGATCTCTTGGATTGGCCACCCCTTCTGTTCCTATCCCCGAAGTCGGACCTCTCTGGCTGCTTCCCTGGTCTGAAAGATGAGGGTCTCTGGTATCTGGGTGAGAAGAATCCCTGATAAAAGGGCCGAAAGGATCCCCTCCGAAAGGACTGAGGGTTTCTAGAATCTGACTTCCAAAAAAGGGAAGGTAGAATTTTCCTTTTGTTTTGGGTTTCGATTAGCAGCGGGTCGAGGGCAGGGCCAAAGAGTCTGTCTCCCACAATAGGAGATGAAGCCAGCTTGCATTTGAGCTTAATGTCTGCTTGCCAATGTTTTAACCATAGTAAGCGTCGCGCTGTGACCTGTGAGGTAATGGCCCTGGCTGAAAACTTGACTGCATGATAAGTTGTGTCAGCTGAGAATTCAACGGCTGCTATAAGTTTTGCAATATCTTGGTGCGCTCTAATGTTGGAATTAGGGACATGCTCCTGTAAGAGACGGAGCCACCTGAGAGAAGCACGGGTAAAGAAGGAAGCGGCCATGGCCGCTCTGTTGGCCCATGCGTCAGACTGATGGGCCCTGCGCAGGGCAAGCTCGGCTCGCTTTTCCTCCGGCTTTAATGCCTCCAGCGCTTCACTGGGATAATATTTTATCCCCTTGTTTTGTTTTGTTTTTCAATTAAGATATATGTATATATGAGTCGTATCACAGTCGTATCACAGTAATAATATCTTTCCTTATTAAGATAGTAATATGAATATATTATTATTGTTGTTGTTGCTTTGTTGTTGTTATTATTATTATTATTGGAGTGAATGAAAGTCACCTAGATAGATAGATAGATAGATAGATAGATAGATAGATAGATAGATCTAAATTAATAGAGAAACAGCTTGATAGAGTGAATATCCAAACAGCCAAATTAAGAACGCCTGGCCGTTATTTTTGGCGCGCGCACACTTCCCAGCAACAAACTCCTGCTGCGTGGGGAAACACCTCCGACGGCTTCTCCTTGTGGCTAAAAGGAACAGCGGGGGAAGGGGTGGAAAGAATTCTTACTTCTTTCCACACCAAGACGGCGTTCTGAGGGGAAAACTCAATGATACGACTTGGATGAGAGCGAAAATGCCCACGCCGCTTTTGCCGATATAGAGAAAGGCAATGCGGAATCACAATGGCAGGGGGTAGAACAAGCAGGTGGGGGGGGGGCTCGGAGCAATTCCGAAGCCGCCCGCCGCTTCAGGCGCGAAACAGCGCTGCCCGAAAATGTAAATGATCTTTGATGACCAGATGGAGAGAGCTAACGTCGGGAGATCGTAAAGTGATTTGGAGGCTAAGAGCCTGAAAAAACGAACTGGACTATATCCAAACCTGCTGAGTAATACTCCTGCTTCGGCCAAGGAAGAACAAAAAGCACTGCCTATCCACAACGAGGCTGAGCCAAAACTGGGGAACGCTGGGGAGGAGTCCCGTGGAGGAGGAGAAGCGTTCCACAAATTAAGCCCAGCCTAGACATGCAGAGACTGAAGCACCTCCCACTACTACTGGATGCTCTTCACAGCTCATGGGAGAATTTTCATGTGTTAACTGCAGCTAGAATTGTATTTGCACAAAACTGGAAAAGCGAAGATATTCCTACAGATGAGAACGTGATTAGGAAAATATTAGAATGTGCAGAAATGAATAGGTTAACAATTGCAATTAAGGAGAAGAAACAAAACGAATATTATATTATATGGGAATTATTCTACCGATGGCTAGAGAATAAATATGAAGAAACAAAAGTAGATTAGCAAAATATAGGAAATATATGAATAGAATTAAATAAGTTAAGATGAGGATTGTTACAGGATTAGATATATTATGTAGATCAGCATTGAGTTAAGAGTAGACAAATAATGAATATGGATGTAAATTTTAATTGTTATTGCACAAAAAATTTGTACCCAGGTGACACATTGTTTAATGGAAGATGGATTGTTTGTACTAAAAAAATTTTTTTTTAAAGTCCCTTCCTTGCCCCCACCCCAAAATTTAAGCCAAATCCCCTGCAGAAGACAAAGCTTCTCAGCCGTTTGAGAGCCGTGCAAACAGTAGTGAAGTCTGATTTGTTTTTGTCTGCTGGGCTGCGCACTTCTTAAAAAACAGGGGAAGCTAAATATTTATGGAAGGGTGACTGTTTGTTTAATTTCTCCACAGCAGCCCGCAGGGAAGAAAGCCGAAGTGACAAGCTGAAGTGACAAGCATCCTCAGCAACCCGGCAGGCAATGGGGGAGGATGTTTCCACCAAGGTTATTCTTCTCACATTCATCTTCTCTGCTTTACTTGCACTGAGGAAGTCATCCATTTCCCGAGGAGACTCCACACGCTTTCCTCAAACGGAACTCCTTTTCTCAAACGGAACTCACCGGAAAGGGATGTGGAAGAAAAACACACATTTATATCTGAGATTGCCCGAGCCCACCAGACTGGATGTTTCTCTCCATCATTACTACTACAATCCTCAAAGGCTACATGAAATCACCTCCTGAAGTAGACCAGAGGTCTGTAAACCTTGGTCCGTGGACCGTTGACCAAAAACCGGGCCGCGTAAACAAGCGAAGCCCCATCCACAAGATGCAGGCCGCACCCGAAACCACGCCCCCCCCTCCGGTCCCTGGAAAAATCTCTCTCCATGGAACCGGTCTCTGATGCCCCAAATGTTGGGGGCCACTGAAGTAAGAGGGTAGCAGGAGAGGAAGAAAATCTTGTCTTGCTCTACAGGTAGTCCTCGACTT